TTCACAATTGGAATAAAACGTACGTGCTAGCCGTGTTCACACTCAACTGAAGGTAGCCCTGTTTACCTTTCACATGCCCAGAACGCGTGATCTTCCATATGCCGATTATAAATGCAACGAAGATCAGAACTCGTATTTAACTCACAGTTACTTGTGATTGGTAGTGTGGAGTTAATTTTTTTAATTTCACACACGTCTGACACCAGACTGTGTGCCAAACAAATCATGATACAATAATCCTTACGGAAAAGAGAAGCGTTGCATGATCTGCATGTGGGCTGAGTACTGCCAGGTTGCCCAGGCCAAGGCAGGTGAATTTTCTTGAGGAATTCACTACCGGAGCCTTCGGCTAACCAAAGCCTGACCCGCAAGACAGCGGCGGGCGGNCATCGGATCATAGGCTATTTAGACAGGGTAAAACGTCCAAGGTGCCGAATACACCTGGATATCCGGTCGAGCCACTGCCACACCTAGCATGATGTGGGTGATTGTGGTTCGTGCGCCTCTTCTTGATTGGTTTGGAATCAGGGTTTTTGGCCAACTTCCCTAGGTGAACTACCAATGGTCCACCAACCTGGTTATAGTCGTGGATGTCGGCTTTTCATCCGCTCACTTAGGTGGGAAAACACCGCGCCACGGGAAGGCAGTAAGAAGGGCTTCCTCAGCAGAGGCTATTTGAGACGTTTAGTCGTATGGGAGCATTTCAAGAGATGCAACCCTAGACACCCACCCCCGATCATACTGGTGTGGGATAATTCATATTGATTTGAACTGACTATCATCCTTCGGACTTAACCTTCACGCACAATCCACATTACAGTTCCAATCAATCATACACTCGGAAGCACTGTAGACTAGAGTTTTGGCCGTATTGGAGCTCATCAGTAGTGCATATCCATCATCCATTCCAGACTTTGAACTCCGGGCACATCACATGGAAGTTGTGTGTGTTACCCCGGCGCCAACCAGCACGAACCCGGGGCTTAATCGAATCATCAATTCAGGTTTGTTACGGATGTCATGCTCAGTGATAGTCAGTCAGTTTATTTGGCCCGACTGCACCGAAGGGAGACTATCTGTTAACCCTAATCAAACTCGAAGTCCAAACTGTTTGTGTGCTCTATGCAAAAGGAGCATATTTATCCTTATCACGTCCAAAGATGAGGAATCTAGTTGAAGCGGTTGCAGCGAGATGCGAGAAACTGATAGCATTTTCTAGATTTGCATTTTCAACTATTGTGCTAGCATCGGTGTAGTCGTGTGCTGATTCTTACATTAGAAATTGCGTAATTATGCTCTCTTAACTGACTCCGTAGCTAGAACAAACACTTTATCCAATTGCAAACCTGATGCTTCATGCTGGTGGGTGAAACGTTTTGGGTGAACCACTCGAGAAAGCAATTCATTAACTCGCTTTTTTTCTATTTACGATTGTTAATCTAATGGTTTATCTTTAATTTAGTGTTGTTTATATGAACGTGTCCCTCCACCCCCGAGAAACAAAACCTGACTTTTTGGTCAGTGATCTATATCCATTTCATAATGAGTAGTACCCGAATGATTCAGCAATACTTATATGTGTATACAACCTGTCAATTTTCGGCGATAATGGTGCACCCAACTCCCGTACCATTTTAATACAATCCAAACACTCATATTTATCCATTACGGTTTCGTGACGTCAAACACCGTCCGTACACGCACGCACACACTAGTTCACTGATGCATAGTAAACCAGCTGGTACTCCGCTCAATAAATCCGTGCGTACACACGTTTTGTTGGTCAAGTAATCGAATCGCCGGGCAAGTGTATATCATCCTATCATTCGGTTCTACCTACCCACCCCAACGAGCAATACTGAGGTTCGGCGTAGAGTTTAAGGCAACCGCAGTCGCCCACTGGAGCAAATGGTCGCATTCTATAGATTACAGTGGTTGGATATATATTTCATACTTGTCTGAGGACAGACTGTGTGCGAAAACCGCAGTCCATTGGGAGCCGGTGTCCAGTTCATCAGATCATACACCCTTCGGACGGGGTCAAACGTGCAAGGTGCCCAATCGGCCAGTGACCACTGCCACAAACGACAAGGTGTAAGTGTGATTCGTACGCCTCCGGGTTAGTTTGGAATCAGAGTTTTTGGTCAACTCCCGTAGGTGAACTACCAGTGGTCCACCAACCTGGTTATAGTCCCGGGTGTCGGCTTTTCGTCCTCTCACTTTGGTGGGGAAATATCTCCGCCACGAGAAAGCAGTGAGTAGGGCTTCCTCAGCAGAGGCTATTTGAGACGCTTGGTCGTATGGGAGCATTTCCGAGGTGCAAGGGAAGGGTGACCCTAGACACCCATCCCCGACCATACTGAGGCTTTTGGAGGATTGAGTATGTGTTACACCTGTCTCCAGATAGGTTGCCACGGCGAGCGATGTTCGTCGAGGCAGGTAGTGGTTGGAATAAAACCCAAGGTGATCAAGCTAAGACCTGGTTCAAGGGTATGAAAACCCTAACCAAAGGTCTGGGTCACACTGGTCCTTTTAGGTTCCTTAAATGGGGACCCCGGGTTGATCGTACCCGATAGAGACACTGAGTGATATGGCTAATTGTCGTAAACAGTGAAATTCTTCTTCTCTGGTCGATACTACTTTCAACCTTTCTGTCTTTCTCCTGATGTTCATCCAAACGGGTAGCCAAAACCGGCGCACGACGATGCATGGTTAATGATTGCGTAAACTGAACTGAACGCGGGAGGTCAGAAACGACTTAGCATTGAGCGACAGGCCAAACACAGGCAATGAGACTCACTGTTTAGTGAAAAGAGGTTTCAGTTTGCATCACTGAGAGAATATGAACTGCAAAACTGCTATATACGGTTTCTAGTTGCGTAATTTATTGTGCGATGAAGAATCGAATTAAAAATCCTACTAGAAGAGCGCGAGTGTGCTTCCCGTTTGAATAACAGGCAAATGTTTGAACCAGAACGCAATAGAGGATTTATTTCAAAATGCGTATTTGAGACAACATGCTTCGCGATAACCCACACCAGGGAAGGTTTGTTTTCTTTGGGAATCATAACTGGAACAGTCTGCTCAAAAGTCCAACTCATTAGACAGTGGGACGTTAATCCCTGGGCGGGAGCGTAACCGAAGCATCCATATGGGAGCTATTCGGGGACTTGTCACGCAAGGTTTTTGACTTTCGGTTCAGTGTGTTGTTCGCTGGTCCCGGGTAGGTGAACCGCCACCGGCAGTTCACCCAGGGGGAGTTGACCAAAAACCCTGATTCCAAACCAACCTGGAGGAGGCAGTAGTCACCGGCTCGATTGGGCATTGAGGTGTATTAGGCACTTTGGACGTT